AAGACATAATATACTATGACATTTTCTCATAATTGTTGACGACATACCATATTATGATGTTTTTATCACATTTTTGATGACATACTATACTATGATGTTTTTATCACATTTTTGACGACATATTATACTATGACGTTTTTCATGATTTTCCACGACATACTATACTATGACGTTTTTGTCACATTTTTGGAGACAGACTATACTATGATGTTTTTCATGATTTTTGATGACATACTATACTATGACGTTTTTTCATGGTTTTTGGACGACATACTATACTATGACGTTTTTATCACATTTTTGACGACATACTATACTATGATGTTTTTCATGATTTTTTAAGACATACTATACTATGACATTTTCTCATAATTGTTGTCGACATACTATATTATGATGTTTTTAATCACATTTCTGATGACATACTACGCTATGATGTTTTTATCACATTTTTGACGACATACTATGATGTTTTTCATGATTGTGGACAACATACTATACTATAACATTTTCTCATAATTGTTGACGACATACTATATTATGATGTTTTTATCACATTTTTGATGACATACTGTACTATGACGTTTTTGTGACATTTTTGACGACATACTATACTATGATGTTTTTCATGATTGTGGATGACATACTATACTATGACGTTTTTATTACATTTTTGACGACATGCTATATTATGATGTTTTTATCACATTTTTGATGACATACTATACTATGATGTTTTTATCATATTTTTGATGACATACTGTACTATGACAATTTTATCACACATTTCACGACATACTATACTGTGACTTCTTTTTAATTTTTTGACAACATGCAATACTATGACGTTTTTATCACATTTTTGACGACATACTATACTATGACATTTTTTTCATATTTTTGACGACATACTGTACTATGACGTTTTTGTAACATTTTTGACGACATACTATACTATGATGTTTGTCATGATTTTCCACGACATACTATACTATGACGTTTTTATCACATTTTTGACAACATACTATACTATGTTTTTGTGACATTTTTGACGACATACTATACTATGATGTTTGTCATGATTTTCCACGACATACTATACTATGACGTTTTTATCACATTTTTGACAACATACTATACGATGATGTTTTTCATGATTTTTTAAGACATTTTCTCATAATTGTTGTCGACATACTATATTATGATGTTTTTAATCACATTTTTGATGACATACTATGCTATGATGTTTTTATCATATTTTTGACGACATACTATACTATGATGTTTTTATCACATTTTTGATCACATATTATACTATGATGTTTTTCATGATTTTTGAAGACATACTATATTATGACATCTTCTCATAATTGTTGACGACATACTATATTATGATGTTTTTATCACATTTTTGATGACATACTGTACTATGATGTTTTGATCACATTTTTGATGACATACTGTACTATGACGTTTTTGTGACATTTTTGACGACATACTATATTGTGATGTTTTTATCACATTTTTGATGACATACTGTACTATGATGTTTTGATCACATTTTTGATGACGACATACTATACTATGACGTTTTTATCACATTTTTGATGACATACTGTACTATGATGTTTTTATCACATTTTTGATGACATACTGTACTATGATGTTTTTATTACATTTTTGATGACATACTATACTATGACGTTTTTAATCACATTTTTGACAACATACTATAATGTTTTTCATGATTTTTGACGACATACTATACTATGACGTTTTTATCACATTTTTGATGACATACTGTACTATATTTTTATCACATTTTTGATGACATACTGTACTATGACATTTTTATCATATTTTTGACGACATACTGTACTATGATGTTTTTGTGACATTTTTGAAGACATACTATACTATGATGACTATCACACATTTGACGACATACTATACTGTGACTTTTTCATCACTTTTTTGACAACATGCAATACTATGACGTTTTTACATTTTTGATAACATACTATACTATGACGATTTTATCACTCATTTGACGACATACTAGACTATGATTTTTTTCATCAAATTTTTGACGACATACTATACTATGACGTTTTTATCACAATTTTGACATCATTCTATACTATGAGGTTTTTTATCACAAATTTGAAGAAATGGTAGCAGTTACCATGATATTACAATGTATTTAACAAACTATAAATAAGAGAGGCCAAAACATGAAAAAGTAAGAAATTTATTAAAGAACAGGTTCAGATGAAAATAAATGCGGTAAACACAAGAATGAAATTGTAAAAAAAGACCCAAAAATAATAAATTGTGTTTTTGGCTTTTGATAATACTTTCTGTCTTGAAAGATTACCCTGAGTTTTGTTGCATAGTTTTTACTTAAATGATGTTTAAAACTCTATGGAGGTAGAGTTGTCAAGAGCCAAACACTTTATGTTTGTTGTGAAGTTGTCACTTGAAAATAGGAAAGCCCCTGTCACATTCCTCTGTGATACGACGAGCCAGACAATTGCACTTCTTCTGGTCTAGACCAGAGAGCAGGTTTTGAGTTGGGATGAAGAAGTTGTAGAGTACACCTTTTTCCAGATGGGCTACAAAGTCTTTCAGGAGCAGCTGAAAACAGTGGCTCAGACTTGAGGCACTCCAGCCTGTGTCTTTAGTTCTAGAGCAGCAGGCATGTAGGAGCGTGGTCTTGGCGTGGTAGGAGCAGAACTTGTCAAATGAAGAGTCCTCTTCCTTCAGGAGACTGAGAAGGTGCTTTAGGAGCTTCAGACAGTCCTTCCTGTATGTGAAGAGAAAGGTACAGACATATCGATTCTCAATACTTTAACCTCTTTTTTCTGTGTGATGGACATGGTGTGACTTGAGTAAAAGAAATGTGTAATGTTATATTTTAACTTAAGGAATATGTTTTAAAATCTTAACCTGCAGCAGCGTGCTCCGCCTTTCTCACAGCATGTCTTCTCCGATCCGTGATTCTTCAGTATGGCCTTCTCAACATGAGAGAATGAAACCCGCCAAATATCTGCAATCAGTAGAGAACAAAATCCTCAATGGGTAGAGAAACTTGAAGCTTCCCTTTTTTTCTAGTCTTTATGCATTAAACAGTTAATGTGAAAGTCCCAAAACAGCATATACATAACATGAAGAGTTAGACAGAGTTCGACTTACCCTTGGCAAGGACCCCGTCGATTTCCGCTGTGCCTCTGCCTTCATATTTTGGGACAAGATAATACGGCATTCGCTTGTATTCCTGCTTCACTTTAGTCCCCAGCCAGCCGTCTACTTTGATGCCTTCTTTGGTGAATGGTGGCCAGCTTGATTTAACCATGATACTGAGCACAACATCCAGTGAAATGGTGATTGATTGTACTGTTGTGGTCAGGGTCACTGCAGGGCAGCCTTTCTTCTTTTTTGTCACCTCCCATTCTGAAAGAATTAACAGGAAACACAATCCAAATGTTGTACGAATTTTTTTGTATTCCCAACCCAACAATTAAAACCCAAAAGTGCTACTTTTGCTGCTCACCTTCAAATTGCTTGACACATTTCTTCACTTCGTCCCTGAACTCCTTGAGCATTTCACTGGCGGATAAAGTGCCGATTTCCCCAAACTTTTTCAGAGGGCTGTTGCCACGTTTTAATTCCACACTGTAAAAGGCTCCATCCTCTCCGAATGGACGAATGTTCACCCGGTCAACAGGAATGGGCAGCATGACATCAAATTCATCTGGATTAGAAATCTGTGTGCACAAAAACATCAGTGTAATACACCACAAAGTGTATGATTACATACTGACTGTACCAAATGTGAGTACATTTCTCCTGCACATTATATATAGATCTAGCCCTTTCAACAACAGATGATGGAACTCAGTGTGTGTTTGGGGGAACTTGGACTGAAGTGACTTACCTTCAGATTTTCATAGTAACTTCCAGTACGTAGTGGTTCTTCAACCTCTTTGAAACATTGAGTTTTCTCTTTCAAATGCACAACTATAGCATTTGTTATTCTATTGATGACTTCTGCTGCACCTGATCTGTCCTTCCTTTTAATCTTTAAATCTTCCAGAGTTGTGTAGAGGATGGAGTCCACTGAAGCTTTGTCTTTACACCTGCCTGCCTTCTTGGTGTCCTCAGGTGTGCCGGGCTGCACCTTTGTTGTCTCCACTGAGATTTTTTCTGGTGATTTGGCTTTGCCAGCACAGGTTTTTGTCTTCACAGCCTTTAGTGCCTCTGGCTTCACCTCCAACTCCTCTGAGAGTTGTTCTGGTGATTTGGCCTTCACGCCACATTTTTTTACTTTTGTGGTCTTTGGAGAATCCTTTGTAGTGTCTTTTGGTGTTGGCTTCGTTTTCGTTATCCTCTCTGCAGATTGTTCTGTTGTTTTGGCCCTGCCAGCACAGGTTTTGGCTTTAATGCCTTGCGCAGGAGCCTTTGTGGTTTCTGTAGGTGTCCTTTGCTGCCTGAGCTCCTCTGTTAAATGATTTTTGGTCTTGTCTATTTGAGCCCTTTGAAGAGACGGCTTCTCCTCAGTGTGGGTTGACTTTTTCTGTGCCTTTGGTTTCTGTTCCGCTTTGGTGCCATTCTGCTTCCCTGGACATCCAGGCAGAGATTCTTGTTTCATTTCCTCTGGTTTAGTTTTACACTTGGCACCCGTAGTGTCAGGACTCGCTGCCTTGCGTGGTCTCCCTCTACCAGTCATGTTGGTGCTATGAGAGCAATGAAACTGCTCTGTCAGGGTTACACTCAGAGAGTTTCCGGCAAGTGTGGGAGAACACGCCCCTTAACACGCCTCAGTTTGTTTGGAAGTCAGAATCCTTTATCAGTGGCTCCATCTTGTGGACACAAGTGTGTATTCTACAAATGCTATGACTTTGTCAGAACTGTCTTATGGAATGGGAAAGTTCAAGGCATCTGTGATCACTTCTTTGTGGTACACTCAGAAAGAAATTACAAAAGACCACAGCTCAACATTTTGGTTGAAACATGTTTAATGTTGCAAAGAGGCTCATGCCATCTTACAGTAAGGTGCAGTAGCTTATGCCAATTTAAGCTTTTCCAGTGCAAGTGCAAAGTTAGCAAAATGCCAATCAAAGTGCTTCAAGAATCATCAGGTGGTCTACTCAGAGTCCCCTCAGGAAGGACAAATTTGGACCTTTTGTTTCAAGTGCTTTTTAAAGCTCAAACACAACAAATCACTAAGTTTAACTAATCTACTACTCGGAAGAACATAGTTTTAACATCTTGCCATAGGCTCCTACAGAGCACCATGTAGTTGCAAACAAACACTAAAAGCAAGACAACATGTACCATGTAAAGAGACCAGTGTCTGCATTCCAGAGAGCTAGAGCTTTGATACATTTTAGTACCTCTAATTGTTCAATGTCTTAATATCAATATCACAGAAAAGTATTGCCATGAACCAAATCAACAGTGCACATTTAAAACTATCTGTTTGATATTACACTGTACGTAATGGTAATCTAACCACTGAAATGGAGTCAGGAGTGCCGCCTCAAGGATTTAAAATCTAAATGTTTTTCTTTCCTTCGAATGCTTTTGCGATGCATTGTGATGATTAACCAGTCTTTGATTATTACGTTGAAGCAGCCAATTGTAGGATGGAGTTGGATGACCGATGTCCTGCCCTGGGAGACCTTAGGGTCGGCAGAGTAGCACAACATTCATTTGTTCCTCTGGGCCTTCTGGGCGGACTTGGTAACTTTACCGGTGGTGGAGACCTTCTTCTCCACGCCCTTAATCACGCCAACAGCCACAGTCTGACGCATGTCGCGCACCGCAAAACGACCTGCAAGGTGAAGAGGAGTAGAGGTAGAGTCACAAAGACTTTGATGGGTGGAAAAAAAGTGTTGGGGAATTCAAAAAGATCTACAGTTGAACTTACCAAGTGGAGGGTACTCAGAGAAGCTCTCCACGCACATTGGCTTGCCAGGAATCATATCCACAATGGCAGCGTCTCCAGACTTGAGGGATTTGGGGTTGTCCTCCAGCTTCTTGCCAGAGCGGCGATCGATCTTCTCCTTTAGCTCCGCAAACTTGCAGGCGATGTGAGCGGTGTGACAGTCAAGCACAGGGGCATAACCAGCACTGATCTGGCCTGGGTGATTCAGGATGATCACCTACAAAGCAAAGAGACTACATGAATGATCATTGCCTTCAGGTCAAATAAGTTCACTGCAAAGACTCTGGCGTTGGCTTTTTGTGCAGCGATCGTTGCTGAGTGTGTTGTGTGGCATAAATTTTAACAAACTTGTAGTGTGATGATTCAAACTCAAAATAGATTTTATAACACATATTCCTCAAGACTATAAATAGTTCTCAGTTACGAAAGAGCGGATTTAATCATGCTCTTGTTTCATTTCTAGAAATAGATCTTTTGCAATGTCTACCTGAGCAGTGAAGTTGGCAGCTTCCTGCGGTGGATCGTTCTTGCTATCTCCTGCAACGTTGCCACGACGAATGTCCTTGACAGACACATTCTTGACATTGAAGCCCACGTTGTCGCCAGGGAGGGCCTCAGTCAGCGCCTCATGGTGCATCTCCACAGACTTCACCTCAGTCGTCACATTGACGGGGGCAAAGGTCACCACCATGCCAGGCTTCAGTATGCCTGTCTCCACGCGGCCTACAGGCACTGTTCCAATACCTGAGAGGAAGTTCAGCATAGAGAATGTCAATGAAGTGAACATTAACCTACAGACCTACAGAGTCTTTCATACAGTAATACTATCAGTGTGCTACTTGCCTCCTATCTTGTAGACATCCTGCAGGGGAAGACGTAGAGGTTTGTCTGTTGGACGGGTGGGGGGCTGGATGGCATCCAGAGCCTCTAGTAGTGTGGTCCCTGATGCATTGCCGTCTTTCCTGTTGATCTTCCACCCCTTAAACCATGTCATCTAGAGACAAGAAGAAAATGTACCATCATACATGAGATTTCAAGCTAATGATCATAGCTGACCATGCTAGACTATGTGTGAAATAAAAAAGGACATAACTATATATACACTTGAGTCAGAGGTTAAACACATAAGCCAAAAATACCCAGGGGTTCTGCTGCTTCAGCCGAATAATGACCAGTAGCTTCTTGTGACTAATGCTAGCAAACCTAAGCTAGATATTTCTGTGTAACTGACATACCGAGTCAGTTTTCTGATTATATGGCTCCTCTTTAGTGATCTGATTATCTGAGTTCGACCGACAGCAACAGGTTTCCCATCCCTGGCACCAGCCAAACAAATTAGTATTCAAATTCAAGGCTGCATACGTCCATTTAAATCTAGCAGCATTTGCATCACTATTCTATGCCTTGTACTCACATTGGGGCTGGGCTCAAGCATGTTGTCTCCATTCCAGCCTGAAATGGGCACAAAGGCAACGGTGTCGGGATTGTAGCCGATCTTCTTGATGTAGGTGCTCACTTCCTTCACAATTTCCTCGTAACGCTTCTGGCTGTAGTTGGGCTCGGTGGAGTCCATCTTGTTGATGCCCACAATGAGCTGCTTTACTCCCAGAGTGTAGGCCAGGAGGGCGTGCTCACGGGTCTGTCCATTCTTGGAAATGCCTGCCTCGAACTCTCCCACACCGGCCGCCACAATCAGCACAGCACAGTCTGCCTGAGGACGCAGAGGATATAATGTCATTAGTACTGTCGGTGCAGCTTTGACTGTTGCACTTACTAATTTAGGATTTGAAGATTACTGTATAATTGTAGTAGAATAAGGCAAGATGAGTCAAGTCCTACGTGGAAGTTAGGATAAAACATTCTTTGATATCAGTTCTGAGGAGGTATATTTAGCTGTAATCAACTTGAAATGCAACAATATGAATACTGTTCAACGGGAACCTGGTGAATGAGCTAAGTGTTGCCTATTGGATGCTCTTAATTATGACTTTTGTGGCTACTTGTTCAAAGGAACCTCCAACTATGGTACACAGCATGTGATGCACACAGACTGGCTGAGCGTCTTCGTGTTACAGACCTGGGAGGTCCCTGTGATCATGTTCTTGATGAAGTCCCTATGACCTGGGGCATCGATGATGGTCACGTAGTACTTGCTGGTTTCAAACTTCCACAGCGAGATGTCGATGGTGATGCCACGCTCCCTCTCTGCCTTCAGCTTGTCCAGCACCCAGGCGTACTTGAACGACCCCTTCCCCATCTGCGAAATAAGTAACAGGTAGTGATGTGCTTATAGTCAGTATGGCTTTTATCTTGATTGATTCAAGGAGGCCTGTATCTCCTCACCTCAGCTGCTTCTTTCTCAAACTTCTCGATGGTCCTCTTGTCGATGCCCCCGCACTTGTAGATGAGGTGGCCTGTGGTGGTGGACTTGCCAGAGTCCACATGGCCGATCACGACGATGTTGATGTGGAGTTTCTCCTTTCCCATGGTGACCGGAGCTGGCTGAAGTCACGAGGCAGTCGGCTGAAACCAGTGTTGGATTACACTTAGTACGGTGTGCAGGTGGTTCACAGGGCAGGAAACAGAAACCTTTCATGCACTAGTTATCGCAACTGATGGATGTTTAAAAGGTTTTGTGTGGGAGCAGCAAAAGTATTTTAAGGATGGGAAAAACAAATGAAAGTTTGATAATGCTAAACAGACTGTAGCATTTGGTAATGGATTGAATGGGCTTTGCAAGATCACACAGCCAGAGACTGAGCAAATGCATCGCAGCGTGAGAGATAAAAACATCAGTAGAGAGCTCGAGCCTCCCCAAGTGACTGGCGCAGCAAGAATTGGAAGTGCTGCAGGCTGTCTGTTTGGTCCTGGGTATGTGAAACTGAGGTTACAGACAATGTCGGCTCTCGACTGGTGATAGATGTTTGCTTAAACAGTGTGTCTCAGAAGATTAGGGATGGTATCAATGGCAATTGAACTGCGCCAAGTCACAAACCCCCCCTCTGCTCCTACTCTCTGTTCTTCCATCCATCCACACCCCTGCTCTCCTCTTTCACATCCAGCCTGCTCTCCTGTCCCTCGCGTCCCTCGCTTCCCTGCTCTGCACTTCACATCAAAAACAACAAGGCGCTGATGTTTCGCAGCACCGTCCTCTTTTCAGACTCAGGACAGCCTCATTCCAAACCACAATCCTCCATTTTGTCAGGTCCTATCCTCTGATAGTGTAGCAGCCATTTCTCAGACACTGCAGTGCACTGCACACAGGTTAATGCAGAGGACAGTAAACATTGTTGTTAACTCTGCAGGAGTGTTGTGGTGGTAACCTTGAAAATAAGAACTGACACATGCACTATAAAGTCTCCTAACTGAGCCTTGTGGGGATTTATTTGATCTGAGTCTGGTCTGCAGCAGGTTGAACGGTCAGTAGCTTTAATCCAAGTGTAACATGAATCTCCACATGATCTTAGCCAGACAGGTGAACTCAGGGCTAGGACAGATATTTACATGCGCCTGTTTAACTCATCCCTCATGTGTAACGTCACGACAACTGCCGCAGTGCGCTTTAATGTAAAAAAAAAAAAAAAAAGATGATAAACAGCGGATAAAACTTAAAAACCAGCATAGCTACTGATACATTTAAAGTCTGAAGGATTTAAGGGAAATGTCACCCCTCCGCCATGTTCTATCATCTGCCTGCTCACTGACGTCTGGCTGCGTATTAAGCACCAGCCGCCTGCCCTCGCTCCTGCATCACAACAATATTCCCAAAACGCTGCCTGGAGACGGAGCCGCTAAACAAACAGCTCATTCATCACCGATAGCATCAAAAACAAAATCCCACTCGATGTGTATACACATCACATTATAATGTCGTGTACGGTGTCGTACCTGAGAGGTGGCCGGTGTCAGTTTGGGTGCAGGACCGGAGGAGCTGAGGAGAGACGCTGATCCGGTTATAGCGCACAGGACAGGAGGGGGGGTGTTGCGTAATTGCGCGCACCCGCCGTTGCACAGCATCACAACGAGGGACCGGGGGAAGTTACCGTAGACGAGTTTATCATAGGACACTGCTGCCGGTGACGCTTCCATTATCGGACACGGCCGCGTTTAAATATTATCTGTTCAGTTTCATCACAGTATCACAAGATGGAAACCTTAAACGTGCGCAGCCAGTGCGTGGAACTGGAGCTTTAGTTTGTCATTAATTAATGTGGCTTAAAGGGAAGGGACATTAGGTGACTCGTGGTTTTTATTTTCTAAGCTGTATCTGCAGTAGTTGGCGTTGCAGAAAAATATTTGAGTGGAATAATATTACACCACACAAGTTTTGTTTTTTGTCTGTGTGTCAGGGATGGTGTTGGCTGTGACACGGTTTAAACTCAGGTGGAGAACAAATGGAGCGAGCAGCAGCGTTTGTCACGCGCAGCAGGTGAGCTCACCTTTCCAGACGCTCCCTAGTTGGATTAAAATGATCCCCGATTCCCCTGACTTCTCTCCAGTGCGTCTGTCTGCAGGTCTGGCTGCTAATTATCACCAGAGGCAGGAGACACACAAGGCGAGGCAGAGGCAGAGAGAGAACAGTCTCCAGGTAAACATTGCAGTGGTTATGACATTATGTTTTCATGTTCTCAAGGGGCCTTAGCTTTTTAGCAACATGTGTCCAAATGTTATCAAGACTTTCTAAAATAGATTGTGAGATCATGTTTGCCCAGTAGTGGCCCACATGGGAATATTTTGTAGATATGACTCAGTACAGAGCTGCATTACTGTGCTGTTGGGTTTTGGTTTATTACCAAAAGGTCATCCTCTGTGAGACTGAACAGCTATTGCAGTTATCACAATTTGTTTCTTATTATTTATGCTCTTATCTCTGTTGTGTGCCTCACTGACCTTTCCTCAGCCCTGAACCTATTTGTTAGTGTGCAGCATGTTCAGTTACTTTATTATAGTGTAGTGTGAGTTTTGTGACGTTTTGTAAAACATCCCAGAGAGTAGTGTCACTGCTAACCAACAGAGGAGTTTATGAAGTCTCTTTATTAGGGGACACTACTTCTCAAGGACATTTAAGTGGGATTATTCCACAAGTAAGGAGTTGCACAGGCTTATGTGTGTGATTTGGAGATTGTATATTTAAAGGGAAAGTTAACCCCCCCCCCCCCCCCCCCCCCCCCCCCCCCCCCCCAAATTCAAAAATGCATATCTTTCCTCTTACCTGAAGTGCTATTTATCAGTCTAGATCAGGGTTAGGCAACCTGTGGCTCTGGAGCCACATGTCGCTCTTTAGCCCCTCTCCAGTTGCTCCTTGTGTCTTTAACAAAAAAATTATATGGAAATGACAGTTTTAAGTTTCATTCAACAGTGTTGTAGGTGTAAAGAAATTCTTACATTCTTCAACTGTAAAAAAGTGAAGCCTATATACCGAATAAAAAAAAAGTTTTCACATTTCAACAACTAAAATGCATGCAATACATCTACTGCCTGGCACCTCTTCCTCCAAATTCTGCCGAACCTTGATAGCAGTGGCTAGTCTTGAGTCTCCCGAGCTAGGCTAGCTATGGATGCCAGATCCTAAAATGTGATAGACTTGGAATAAAAAAAATAGAATTTAGGAGTGGGTGGACAGATTTGTTTGCTTTCACTGCCAGCTCTGCAAAGTCACCGTACCAAATAATCATAAATAATGCCTTGCACAGTCGCCACCTTGTGGTAAAACATATTAATGACTGCTAATTAAGACGATAGGTACAGGCTGATTTAGACTTTATAAAATCGGCCGATTATAGTCATTAGAGAATAATTGTTCCAATCCATTATTGTGTTCAAATTGTTCATATGCTGCTTGTTCCACAAAATTTCTGATAATAAAAGTGTTTGAAAATAGTAAAATGTTCTTCCTTCAATTTATATCTTTGTAACGAGTGTTTGAACTATATTTAAGCCATCAAAAGCAGGTATTTCAGGGGCATCGGCATCGGCCCCAATATAGGCTGTGTTACCGTCATTATAAGGCTCAAATATGTTTTGTGGTGCCACACGAAATTTCTTTATGGCTCTTTTGATAGTAAAGGTTGCAGACCCCTGATCTAGATTGTTTTGGTGTGAGCTGCTGAGTGTTGGAGATATCAGCAGTAGAGATGTCTGCCTTCTCTTGAACATAATGGAACTAGATGGCACTCAGCTTGTGGTGCTCAAAGTGCCAAGAAAAGGAAAAACCCAACAGCAATGTCTCTTTCCAGAAATCATGACTTGGCCACTCAAGATAATCCACAGACCTTGTTGTGAGCAGTTTCTTTTAGGAACTATTTTCTTCCTACTGAACTACACCTGCCAACCGTATCCCTGCGCAGAAGGAGGCGTGCATCTACTGCTAGCTGAAGTAGCACCACTGAGCTAGCTAATGTTACAGCTCAGCCGAGTTTAAAGTTTACATCTTAGGTAGTTAGTAGCAGTTTATTTTGAACGTGTAAGTCGCAAATAAACAAAATAATCATACAGCTGTAGACAGACATAAAAAAACAGCTTACTAAAGGCAGCATGAAAACTAAAAACATAAGGATTTGATTTACATGTCAAATCATCTACTGCTGGCTCAGTCCTGTGCTGTAACGAGTGCAAATCTCTCGTCCATGAGTAGATGCAGTCTTCCTTTTGCTTGGTAATACGGTAGAAAGAAAATAGTACCTTCATGAAACTGCTCACAACAAGGTCTGTGGATTATCTTCAGTAACTGGGTCATGATTTCTGTAAAGAGACATTGCTGTTGATTTTTTCAGAAGCCATTTTTTGGCACTTTGAGCACCACAAGCTGAGTGACATCTAGTTCTGTTATATTGGAGAGGAGGCAGTCAACTCTAAGGCCGATAACTCCAACACAATCTAGATTGATAAATAGCTCTACAGGTAAGAGGAATGATAAGTATTTTTGATTTTGGGGTATAATAGTAAGACTGAAGAGATTTAATGAAAAGCACATTATTCCTTTAGTCAGTAGACAGTGGCTACATAATGAAATAATAACCCGACACAGTATCAGATTTGCTAATAGCTGTATATGATGCAGTATTTACAATACATGACAGTGATTAAAGACATATTTCTGGAATGTTTCCAGACTGAAAGTTTACAATGATTACCCTCCCAGTATAGTGTGTGTATATACACATTCACAAATCCCTTTACTCTCTGTGTGTAGACACTAACATTAAAAAAATGAAAGAATTAAAAAAACAGTAATGACAGGAATCCCTTCTGGGAACAAAGAGTCTACAGTCCTGAATTGTCTGACCCCATTGAAGCTAATGTAATAAGGCAGTGCGTCTTAAACTGGGATGATGATGCTACTTGTTAACACATAACAAAAACAACATTTTTCCTTGTGGCTTGATTTTGATTTATCCCCTTGTGGTTGTTATGTGTAAATGGACAAGATACATACAGTTTTATGTACGTGTGACCTGGTAGAGTGTAAACTTTATAAGTTGAAAATAGGTAAAGAATTACCATGAGCCATATTCTGAATTAACTGCGCTACCTGAAATCATTTTAAAATGGGATCTCATCCAGTTGACACTTAATCAAGAACATACCTCAATGCGGTAGATCAAACAACCTGTAAAAAGTAATCAAACGTCCTTTTCAATCCTTATAAGACATACGATACCTGAGAATTGACACAGAAAGTGCAAATCCTGTGAGTAAAACAAGGCTGTGTGTCCACCAGGAACCTCTGTAAAGTTTCCTTTCCCTTCATCAGAAAGGTGCAGAGAGCTTAACGTCGTCTTAGTGTTACAGATTGAAAATATCATGACCCGTGCTTCACACATGCATTAGTTAAGTGCTGCTACCTAAACTCAAAGAGGTGCCTGGTGGATACAACCGAAAAAGACACATTATTGTGCACATAATAACGGCACTATATGACAAGTACATACAAAAAAAAGTCCATTTGCAATCCTGTGAAAGACAAAGAGCTTTAAAATCAATCTAAGGAGGCTTCACTATAAGGCATTTTCCCCAAACAAGTGTTTGTGCGTACTGTGTAGTCTCAATGGTAAGAAAGACGTTCTTATATGTGTGTGTCTAATTTGGGTTGACATGATTTTTTTTGTTAGGAGGGGGGAAAACCATGTAAAGAAATACTTCACCTCCCAAATCACAATTTGTGTATCAAGTACTCACCCTGTGCTATGTTGAATTTGTGAAGAAACTTGGTCCTTGCATGCCTCCAGTGAACAAAGGATCCAAAAATGGAGAACAGTCTTGTTGACAACAGCAAAATTAGATCAAAGCATCCGTTTACAATCTTTCACACAACTCATGCAGTATAATCCAAGTCTCATTTATCCAGTCAGATGCTCAGTGCTGCCCCGACAGCCCTTTCTGACAGGGAACTGAACTGAAAGTGAAACTTTATCTACACTCTCTTCAAAGCCAGACTCCATTGACAAAAACAGTCTTTTAAGCCTGCTGAACACAGGAGCTGCTGGTCTTTCTTTGCCTCTATCAGTTAGTTAGTCTGTGTTATTGTGAGACTTTGGTGAATCTGAACTAACACTTTAAAACACCAAAGTCACACAATGACGCAAAAAAAACTAACTTATCGCAGCAGCGACAGACCAGCAACTCCTGTGTTCAGTGAGGTAAAATGACCGTTTTTCTCAATGGAGTCTGGCTTTGAAGAGAGCAGAGATAAAGTTTCACTGTTAGTTCAGTTTCTATTTGGGAAAGGGCTGTATGTTTGAGGAGTACTGAGCAAACGACTGGATAAATGAAACTTGGATTTGACTGCATGAGTTGTGTGAATGTTGTAAATGGTAAGTTTTGCTATTGTTAAACATGGTTACTAGGATTGGGTACCATTCATATGTGAACCGATACTGGTGCTGGTACCTGGACACCAGACAGTGTCTCTCCTCTGTACTTTACTCTCTGTTTAATAACAAGAACGTATTTTTTGAGCAAGCTGCAAGGTCGACACAGTCTTGCTCTCCTCTGAGCACAAGTCAAGTCTTGTGTCTTGAAATGAAAAGAAAAAGAAACACTGAAACTATCACTGCAGATCACCGCTACAGCAATAGTTTTGGCTCTTTGGGAAGCTGAGGAGCTCAGTGTCCCACTCCTGGCTCGAGGCACTTCCGTCTTCTGTTTGAACCTGACATTCTCTCCCTGATGCGTAATTCAGTATTTGAAAGTACTGACAGGTGATCAAAAGCGTTGGGTAGTCGGAAATGAGAATGATGTCAACTCCGAGTTGACAACAGTTTTTGCATTCTAGCTGACAACGGTGGACAAGTCGTTGTCAACCAATAACTAACTAATAGCACTTTGGTACTCTGTGGTTGTTTTAAAGTGCTTTACAAATAAAGCTGGATTGGATTAGAAAAAAACATGGACGTTACCGTTCTACCATTGGGCTAGCCGTAGCCACTGTTAGCAATATCAGTTGATAACAATTCTCTATGTGGCATTTTGCACGTACAGACAGCATAGCAACATGCCCACGGATATAAATTGAACAGTACTATGGGTATGGCTGACCTAATGTAAAACAAATAAGACAGAATTGCTATAAACAGTACTTTAGCAGAGTGTTTACTCACTACGTATGTGACCGGCAGCCATCATGAATTCGTAAGTCGGGGTTGATGCGGTTGAGTTTCCGAGTTGGAAATCCGACCTCAGGGTGCGTTCGAGTTTAAACTTCCGACTGGGAACTGGGAATTTCCGACCTACGAGTACAAAATGAACGCACCATTGGTACTTTAAAGGATACTGACGAAATTCTATGACTTCAACTCATCAAGAATTTTGTCTGTTATTGGATCCTCCGTTCAGTGAAGGCATGTGGGAAAAACAAAGTCCTTTTCACACATTCAACAGGACTCTGGCAGAGTAACTCATAAACAAAAGGTGATTTGGGGGTGAGGCGTTCCTTTAAACACTTTAAACTATTTGGCACTTAGTTTAAGTTTCACATGTTGTGTTAACCCAAACTTTATACACACCAGTTAAGGAAACATCCTTCTAAAGAGGACAGACTTTAACCATGGCATTAAAACTCAAGAAGGTGTACTGTGGAGTCGCAGGGTAAAAACATCTTTAAAGTGCTCTGGAGGCAGAAATAAAAAATGAGCTTATCAAGTTAACTAACTGGCAAACCTGAGGAGCTACATTGGGATATTTTGTCTTGTAGCTTATTTCCTGTGGTGTTCATAATGTCAACACCTGTAGCTTCCTTATTAACTGGCTTCATTCCTTTTTTTCAGCTAGTGTCAGGAGTGCTTGCCTTTATAAAGACAGCCTCCTCTGACACTTCCTGGAGATGCATACTGTGGTTGTTTGCTCTGCTAAATGATTATTTTTGCCTCCTAGAAATATTCACTTCAATAAAATCTCAGTCTTCTGTTGCTGTGACTGAAGGTTTACCTGACTCTGTAGTACCTGCAGTCACAGTACAGAACGTCTGCGAGGGTATTATGGCTGTTACTCACTGTTAGCTAGTCACGCTTTGAGAATTATCAGCGCAGCTGGAAAGGTATCTGTCACTGATTACCCATTAAATTAAGCCCATGATTGAGACCTGTCCATTGGAAAAATTTAAATCATCAAACAGACACGTCCGGCACTTGTCTTCAGCCTCAGTCTCCATGAGAGTAGGACGTGTGGACGGCCCAGGTCTGCACCGTTCCTCGGCCGAACACAGTGTAGAACACAGCTCCAAACAGGTTGATGGCAGCAGCAATGTAGAAAACCATCTGCCATTCTTCTATGGTTTTCTAAAGGACAAACACAACAGTTAATAATGAGTATTCAAATTAAAATAAAGACATGTGTGTCAGTGATGATTTAGCAAACTGTCTGGTTCAGTTCAATAAAATAACTGGTGCACCATCATATAGCCATGCAGGTCAACACTTTACAGTTTGTCGCTTCCTCGTTTGTCAAAAGAAAAGCTGATTTTTTTTTTTTTTTTTTTGGTTTGTTTTAAAAATATATTACAAAACGTTCCTCTTTATGTCTTTCCCACCAAAATGATAACAATGCATCTTAAAGGGTAACTTTGGGATTTTTCAACCCTGACCCTATTTTCCCATGATTTCTGTCTAAGTGACCAATGGAGAATTTTTGATATTGGTCCATTATTGAGTGAGACTGCTGCAGCTAGCAGCGGCAAAATAGGCTGCAATGTAACAAGACGGGACAGTTGTACACCTCTAATTTACGACCACTGACAGTGCTTGTTTTTGCCACTGACAGGCCCAGGTTATTATTTGAAGTGTCTGATAACACTGTCCATCTGTTAAAACACTCTGGTCAGAAGTGATATCTCTTGTGTCTACCTACAAAGATAGGCATTTTTCCTTAACTAGAAGCACCCCCGAAATTGCTACCGCCAGTTCCACAAGACTCCCTTAAATAATTTCAGCGTGTACAGAGTCAGCATATTTTCACATCTAAATGAGTAACGTAATGATTTATATCAGGTATACCAGAGTTGGAATGATGAACCAAGACAGTTTTCCTGAGGTTTATTTTGTTTGTCGACTTTGAGTGAAGTCTGTTTGACGCATTACAGTTTGTTTAAATGTATTCTGGGGGATTTGGCGATGACGTCTTTGGGGCTGTTTCGGGTTTATCTAAAAGGATCTTACTCTTAATCAAAAGTGTCTATCTCTCGGGAACCTTACCATTATAGCTTTAGACTCTAAGAATAATAATCTGAGCCGGTTGTGACAAAAACAAACACTTTTAGTGGATGCAAAATGACGGTGCTCAATTGCCCATTAACTTTACATTGCAGCCTGTTTTGCCGCTGTTGGCTGCAGCTGTCTCGCTCAATACTGGACCAGTTTAAAACGCTGCTTCTATTAGTCACTTGGACACAAACCATGGAAAAATAGGGTCCAGGTTGAAGGTCATGTTATAGGTCATGTTAGGACAGAGTAGCCACAGGTCCTTAAAAAGTCTTAAAGGGATAGTGCACCCAAAAATGAAAATTCAGCCATTATCTACTCACCCTCATGCTGAGGAATGCTCTGGTGAAGTTTTAGAGTCCTCACATCCCTTGCAGAGATCAGTGGGGGCAGCGGCTAGCACACCTAATGGGAGACGGCGCCCCAGACAAACGTCCAAGAACACAAAATTGAAGCCACAAAATATCTCCATACTGCTCATCTGTAGTGATCCAAGTGTGCTGAAGCCCCAACATAAAAAGTTGTTTCGGAAAACGTCATATGAACTCTGTTTTTGGCCTCACTGTAGCCTGTAGCTCTGACTGTTTCTCTGTGCTCCGCACTCACGTGCGCAAGACCAGCAAAAGCATGACCTTTGTTTACCTGTGTTTACATCACGTGACACGTGCACCGCAGGGAGAGACAACAGTAACCACAGAGCTAAAAGATCATTTGCACTACGGTCTTTTAGCAAAGGACAGCCCAACATGTCTGAAGACTTTGAAATTGAGGAGGAACAGCATTTCTTTGTTGAGCCGTATTTGTTTGAGCCCGAGTATACGGACGGAACTCAGGCTACTGGACGAAGCAGCCGCCGCAGCTCATGAGCCTAACCCTCAGCCAGCCGCAGAATACCGGAGTCGAGCACTGGAAACCTGGTGGTGTAGTTGTTTCAAATGCAAAGCAATGCCAACGGATGAGGAAAGTCTTTGCTGCTCAGACTGGGGATTGGCGATGCCTGCACTTGAGAATCTGGACATCAGTACTGACGAGACTGCTGCTCTTCAGAGATCACCGATCACCCTGAGCGCGCACACGTGAACGTGGAGCACAGAGAAGCAGTCAGAGCTACAGGCTACAGTGAGGCTAAAAACAGAGTTCATATGATGTTTTGCGTTGTTTTTTTTTTTATGTCGCGGCTTCAGGACACTTGGATCACTACGGATGAGCATGTTGGAGATATTTTGTGGTTTCAATTTTGTGTTCTTGGACGTTAGTCTGGGGCGCCGTCTGCCATTAGGTGTGCTTGCTGCTTCCCCCGCCTATCTCTGCAAGGGATGTGAGGACTCTAAAACTTCACCTGAGCCTCCATCGGCATATGGGTGAGTAGATAATGGCTGAATTTTCATTTTTGGGTGCACTATCCCTTTAATGTCTTAAACACACATTTCCTAATAAAAGGTTTCATGAAGTATTAAACTGTCTTAAATTCAGACTGGGAAACATAATTTTAACAGGAGGGAGACACTATTTGACGGGGTACCAGACTTCAACACCTGTATGTGCGCAGTGCCCCTATTGTTGCCCCCACACACACTTAGATTACACAGTAAATCTGCATCGTTTAACTAGGACCTTGCCAGCTATGGAAAAATGGGGAAATGCAAGTGTAAGAACAAAGAGCTTAAAAGAATAACAACAATTACTCATAGTGATTAAAGCCAGAGCCTGGAAATGTTTACACCACAAACTGTACCGCATGTTGACGGTGTTTCAAACATGGTAAAAAGAGATTTAGGCGGTGGAGGACAAAATCTATAATCTGCTCTATCAGACAGCAGCCAACACACGGAGTCATGTCTCCACATTAACACTGCAGTGCGGCAATCCTCTCTACAGAGCAATGAATACTGAAACAAGTAACAATGATCATGTACTGGCTATGATCAGGCCAGATAAACACACTCTGGGTATGACTGCTGCCTTTCATAACAGACTGGTCGCCCCCTGGTGGCCAAATGTAAGCATGCTAATCCTGTACTGACTAAACCAACTAGACGGGAAATGGAGCATCAAGCCAAGTGAGGATACCATCTGCTCAGTGAGGGACACAGGAGGTCAGGACACCTGGAGTGACCTCTGTCCATATACAAGCAGCAGAAATACTAGACACTAAAACAATCTATCTGCTGCCCTGCATTGCTGTGGTTCACAAGAAGTGTTTAAAAGTGTTAAAATGAGTCTTAACCCTCTGAATAAAATAATAATCCCGCTGTGCAGACTGCGTACTAAAGTGTGACTGTAGGTGAGGTTCTTACATGTTGGGTGAGTGCGCTTGCGATGACTGGTCCCACCATGCCAGGGATGGTGGCGAAGGTGTTGGTGATTCCCAGGAGGATACCAGCATACCTGCACACATAAGTACACTGATTATTAAAAGTTCAGAGTGGGTATTAACCTGCTAAACTCACTGCAGTGTTGAGTACAGCTCTACCACAGCTCACACTTGAATAATCTATTAAAACCTGGAGGAGATTACAGGTCAGCTCTGATCTGAGTATATTCACGTGAAGACGGGTGTCTATACACTCTCTTTCCTACAAATTTTAAACTTCACATTTTGTTTTCCTGCATCACGAGCAGCAGCACGCTATCACGTTTAAAGTACGAGGTTATTTTGGTGACGAACTTACGAAGGAGCGATGTCAAGGTGGTTGATGTTGAAGCCAGACGCCGACACTCCGCCCAGAGCGGAGGAGATGGTGAGGAATGTCACAGCCAGCGTGTAGTTACAGCCTGTGTATCCTGCTGCCACCAGGAACACTGCCGGCCCGATCATACCTGCAGCAACAACACAACTACAGTCCTCAGAAGAAGCAGACATGCTGTACTTGGAAGTCAAGAGTAGTAGTAGTCAGTTTGACACAACAAAATAATCATGACTCCATTATTTTGCTGTATTCTTTACCAACAATGGAGAAGGACTTCCTGACAGTGACGGTGGGGTAGAGGAGCGTTTCCCGCAGGTAATCAGCCAGCTGGCCACTCAGCACAGCCATCACAGCGCAGCCTATGTAGGGAAGAGCTGACAGCATGCCGTTCTGTTGTGGACAGAAAGAGACAGCAACGCAGGATGTGAATACTTTTATGAAGACATATCAACGTAAATTCCAGTTTTGTTTCCTCATTTATCTCACTTGTCCATTTCTACTTCAGATACATATATTATTACTAATAAACACTTAGTGACAAATTTTTTTTTTTTCTTAAATTCTGGGGCCAGTCGTACACACAATAACCATGTGATGCCTTTTCCCACACATAAACAGATGTGCGGTGAAAATGCCAGTACCTCACGCACTGTTTAGAGCAGCATGCACATAGTTTTAGCTGAGATGGTGGCAGATAATATTGTTTTCAGGTTGTTTGCCAATCTCACTGATCAGGTTATTATTTTATTATTTTTATTTTTATTTTACATTTTGTCTTTATTTGATAGGACGGTACTCTTTTTCTCCAAGATATTTTTTTGGGGTTTTATTTGCCTTTTTTTTTTTTTTTACAGGACAGTACTTTTTTAAAATATATTTTGGGGGTTTTTTGCCTTTATTTGACAGGACAGATATCGTGTGAAATGGGGAGAGAGAATGAGGAAGACATGCAGCAGAGGGCTGTGGGTTAGAATCAAACTCGCAGCTGCTGCTGCAAGGATACAGCCTTTGTAAAGCTGGTGGGCGCCCTCACAGGACAGTACTTAAGAGTGAAGGGGGAGAGAGAGGGGATGATGCAGCAAAGGGTCACAGGCTGGAATCAAACCATCTGCCGCTGCAGTACGGACATTGCCTTTGTACATGGGATGCCCGCTCTACCCACCGAGCTACTATGCGCCCCTAAAGGCACATATTTAATCTAGTTTTAAATTATTTCTGAGTTAATAATTTTATCAATTTTTATTTAGGCCTACATTTGAGCCATATCTCCTGTGAATGATTGTTTCAGTTGCTCCTGAATTTTGAAGCAGTTTGTGCAGTTAGTTTCAACATGAGCCTTATGAACAAATTATTGATCATCCTTCTGATGTTTAATACTTGAGTTGAGTGTTGAGTACTGATGATGATGACTGATATTTTACAATAATCATGGTTTTGCAGAAATGTAATGAATTAGTGTTAAGGACGCTATAAAAATATCCACGGCTGTGTGTAATGACAGCTGCTCTGGGACCATTGGAGAACCTTGCTGATGCAACACAGTGGAAGAAACTGCACTTTATTTACTGTATTTCTCATTGACAGGTCTAATGAGTGGTGAACAGGCACAAGTATCAATATGCAAACGACTTTTTTAGGGCATCTACATGAATTTATGGCAAACTGTGGGTGTGGAAAGGAGGCTCTTGAACATGTACCCAGCACCACAATGATTAAGATTTATAAAACAGAATCAGGTGTATAAATGGCTTCATAAATCTGGAAAGAAAGAGTGCCTATGTATATTTCCGCCTTTGTGCGTACATAGAGTTTTAGCTGGGAATCTACATTAAGGTTTTTTTGCATCTGGCTTCAGGACTTAAAGGTGCACCACATCTGTTAATATTTTCTCAATAAGAATGTCCAATAAAAAAAGTTTTAAAGATGCATGACCATGAGCACCGTGTGTTTGTGTCCCCTTATTTGATTCTTCCTATCAGTGTGTGCCAGCACCTCTGAGCATGAATAATGCCTGTGCGCGATGTTGACCTCACCTGCTGTATGCTGAATCCCAGTATGTCATTCATGTAGGTTGGCAGCAGGGTGAGGAGGGTGTAGAAGGTCCAGTTGTAGGAGAAGTGAGCCACCACGATGGCCAACAGCGGTCTGGAGGTCACTATGGCTCTCCAGGGGATGTTGCCTGCTGAGGTGGACAGCTGCGACACACAGGAAAAAGAAAATAGAGATTTTATTGTATAGTTTGAACTTAATTCCCTTACATGCCATGAAGGTGTTTTATTCTTTATGTCTCCTGCCAGGTCATCCTCCACCTCTCCTCTACTGCCTACAGTGGAGGTTTTATTTCTTGTGTTAGCTTTTCCTCCCTCTGCTGGACACAAAAATGAAAACATGAAAATGATGTTGTGCTCTGTTGTGTCTTATTTAAAACTCTACAGCTGACAAAAAAAGAAGTTGTAAAGACTCCCACAGCTCTTCTTCACACTGTCTTCAGTGTCATATAGGTGTCCACAGTCATGACTGTGTGAGTGTCACTTTCAAATGCACAGTCATGGCGAGCGTTGCGGCCAAACAGCTGAGAAGACAGATAAGAGAATTTGATGCTGCAATACACTGAGATTATGTAACTGTAGTATCTGATGACTGCACTGGACCGGAAACGCCTGCAAGCGCTCTGCAGCTACCCTCTTAACTACTGTCTTGATGTAGAGAAGAACAGTGCACTAGTCAAAATGGAAATTTGGGATCATATCTACTGAACCATTGTTTTTGAACAGCGGGAAAAAGATAATAATCACAACCCAGTTTTTTCTTTTGCTTTTCTGTCCATGCTTGGAGTGTAAATTATTTATTACACACTAACAAAATGTGGGTCCAAACAATCTATTTCCTGTTTTCTTGGCTCTTTAATGACTGTTTTAAACTGTATTTAAATGTTCTTTTTTATTGTGTTTTGTTTGAACTTTGTCTTGATGTTTTATGTAGAGCACTTTGAAGTGCCTTGTCACTGAATTGTGCTATATAAATTAACTTGCCTTGTGTTGCCGTAAAGTTAGTGCACTAAAGCATCTTTTTGGAGTTTCTGATGACTTTCTGTTTAAGAATGTTCAAGGTAGCAGACAAGTATAGATCTACCCTTACACACACTAGTTATACATGTATAAGGTGAGTAACTGATGCTAATCTCCACAGCTGAGTCATTGCAGAAGTGTAGCTCAATCATCTGGTTAACACATTTAGCTCTGTCAGCATTACTGCTGTTGTTAGCAGTATTTTAATCAGTTAACATCATGAGCTGCTAGCCTCCGGCTCAGCCACCTCCATGTTGAGAGCCATGTGCTGACAATCCTACCGCAGATTCTGAATCATAGATTCGCTCTGAGTGTCGCATACAACTTCTTTAATGTTTGAATCTACTGAGATCTGCAGACGGAGTTGATAAGCACCAGTAAATGTCCCAAATAGTTTGCACATTTGCTGATGAATGCTTATTTATTTTGTCCATGTTTTAAAGCATGAGTACATGTCAGTTTGAATCCTGCAGACTGGAGAGATGAGGGTTTTCGGTTTTCCTTATTTGAAACCAACTGATTCACACTGTACTTAAAAGGAATAGTTAACCCACAATACTCATAATCTTTCCCCAAACCTATAAACCCTATTTTTATTTTGTCATTTAGGACATACAGTGAAGTCTGGCTGGTTTCTGTCTTTACCTCGTTCTTCAGTGAGTTGGTGATGTAGAGTCTCTCCCGCTCTGATATCCGTGGGTGAGTGTTTGGACTGTCAAAGACGAGGAAGGCCCACAGGACGAACCACACCAGGCCGACAGCACCTGGCCACACAAACAAGCACTCATTATACTGTAGATCAACATTTATCCAGCATAAATCCTTCACCACAATAAAAAGGGCACTGGTCAGCAGCTGCATGGATCATGATGATGTTAGTGGAAAGAGCTGTGTTTTGTTGTCTGTTTTATTGCCTCTACTTTACTGTTATCCACTGAGAATAACAGGTGTGGTTGTCACTAACATTTAACATATGTCCAGTGATTGTAGGAGAGCAAGTCAATAACGTGGCACTACTGCAGCGGTTCCATCTGTGATACGTTTTCTTCTTCAACTTGCTGAATCATCATTTCCACGAACCAAAGAGGAACAAAGGAACAGACACTGGAAACAGCTTGTCTGACGCTTAAAAGCAGCACTGTGGTGTCTAAGTGTTTCAAGGAAAACAAATATCTGTGACTAATCAATGGAGGCGCTGCCTGAGGTCAGAGAAATGTGCTTCTATCAGCATGATCATCAGCGACTTCTTGCATCATGTGCACTTACCTGATCAGATGACATGATTCAGCTGACAGCTTCAAATGAAATCTTAAGACCTGTCTTTTCAAACTCTAATTCGTACTTTGTGAGTGTGTATTTGTAACTTATTACCTCCGCCATGGAGGTTATGTTTTCGCCAGCGTTAGTCTGTTTGTCTGTGAAAACTTCTGAATGGATTTTGATGAAATTTTCAAGAAGGGTTGATAATGGGACAAGGAACAGATGATAAAATTTTGGTGGTGATCTGTTGAAGCGAAGTGGATAAAATAATAAAATGGCGGGAAATCCGAGCTGCTTGGTGGAGGTTTGTGCTCTCCGAGTGCTCTAGTTTACTTTATCTTATTGTGTTTCATCTGCGTCTTCTCATGTTATGATGTAAAGCACTTCCTGTATGAACTGTGCTATACAAATTTATACAAATTTAAAGTTATTATTATTATTATTATTATCTGCAGTGTAAATTCAATGAAGTATTTTTTTTAAATCACAGGGTTCCAAATGTTGCTGTGATGTGAAGTTTCCATAACTTATTCAGGACAGCACTTTCACAACCTGAAATCAAGTAAGAACTTTCCACCGGGTCAATCATAAGTAAACGTCCCTCACCCTCATAAGGCATATTTGCACAGGACTAGTGTCACCAGTGGACCTCATGTGATTTAGACATTATCCTCCATGTCTGTGGTTTATGTGGTGCATTTTAGCGGTGATGGAAAAAATTGATACAGCATAGTGTTGCGATATTTTTGTGCGGCAATATCGTATCGTCACACAGTGACTGATTATTTATTATATAAATTATTAATATTACAAATACAATTTAAACTTCAGGTAGCCTACTAAAGTAACATAATCAGTTTCTTTGTTAGTCCTCTCCATACATTTCACAGCACAAAAAAAAAAAGACTGAAGCGAGACGAAGCAGACTGAAAACTATCTGATTAGATAAAACAGATGTTGACAAAGTTTTCCTTCGGGGACATTATTGGTGTTAAAAACAGGTCATAAATAGCAATATATGTTATCGCAATACTCAGCATATCGTTTGAAATCGCAATAATATTGCATTGTGACTAAAGTATCACAACAATGTCATATCTTGGAGCCTCTGGTGATTCTCTCCCCTTGACATTATCCCCTGGATATGATGTCATGGCTCTGTGTAACATCATCATTATCATCATCATCATCATCATAATTTCATTAATCTCACCATCCCTCCCTCGTCTGATAGATCTGAGCTTGCTCTTTCTGTGAGGCTCCTGAAACTGCACCCAAAATGCTGTCACAACTTTCATTTATAATTTCCAACACATCCTCTATAGTTCTCGACCAGGACAGAGGCAGAAATAAGGTGCAGCGATGACAAAAAACAAAACACGACCCGGCAGATTCACACGGGACCATTACAACCACATGATTTGTGTCTGGCAAATATGGTGGGTAATGTGTACTGGAATTTTAACATGACAATTTACAGATGTAACAGATTTGCATGGAATACAGATAAAAGACGACTTCTACAATTATTAAAATTTGCTAGAGGTCCCCAGGTAACACTAGTCCTGTGTGAGGAGGGATATGTTCTCTGGGACTCACTCCCTATAGACATCAGAGACTCCTCCTAACTCTCCATCTTCAAGAAAACCCCCAAACACACCTTTTCAAAACTACCTACGACTTCTAAATTCAGTGTACTTCGCCTGCCCTTCCTGAGCTATTTACCTCCCTACGGATTTTTTTTTTTTTTTTATGTTGTTGCTCTCTGAAAAGCACCTTTGAGTATCCTGAAAAGCGCTATATAAATCCAATGTATTCTTATCTATTATCATTATTGTTCTGATATCTATGCAAAAATGGTTATACTATGAAAACTGTGCATACAACATAATACTTACAGGCTACTGTGCTGAGTGAACAGGTGAAATGTGTTAAATGACTCAAATAAAACCGAAATATCAAAATAAAATGAGATATAATCAGGTTATAATTCGGCTGATAGAAAGTTAACACTACCCCCACAGAGTAGCTGTTGCAGAACAGCTCCGCCCCTTCCCTCTGCTACTGACACCCCAGGTGTATTACCAAACACGTAGAAGACGTAGGTCCAATCCAGGTAGAAGCAGATTTCACCAGACAGAGGCAGAGAGATTACTGTCCCCAGCTGGGCTCCTGGAGGGGACGAGAAAAGACAAATAACTGTATCACACAGCTGTTTAAATGAACACAGTGTACATACTGAATGATGAATATACAGACAGAGTCAACATTAACAATCATGCGACAGAAGACACTGTGCAAGAGGAGGCTGAATCTCTTTAGGTACACATGGTTAATCTGAAACTGACACATCAGAGAAAGTTTCACACAGTGCCTAAAATAAGGAACGCAATTAGTGAATACTGTCACTGTTGGTTCATCTGTTTTTTTTTTAAATGATTGATTAATTGTTCAGTAAATAAAGTGTCAGAACACTGTGAAAAATATCTTCTAATTGCTTTGTGTGGCGGTTCAAAAGCTGCAACCAGCAAATATTTGGCATTTTTGTTTGATAAATCACTTTAATCAAACTATTATCAAAATTGTCGTTGCATAATTTTCAGTAACTAACAGAGTAATTGTTCAAATATCAGCCTGGTCGCTAAGAGAAAAAGCTGGCATTCAATGTTTCTTCAAACCACGAATATTTTACATTTGCACGTTTCATATGTATATCAACATTTCTAAGTGAATATACGAGCTGACTTTGTCATCAAGAGGTGGAGCAGATGGTGAATGCCGTGTCACCTGGGTGAGACATCTGCCAAGCTGCAGACCACTGATCGAGACTGACAAACAATAAATCTGGATGTGTTTTAGGACACATTCACACTGGCGCCATTTGGTCCGCTATAAAAGAACCATGGTCCGCTTCCACAGATAGTTCGGTTTATTTCGATGTAGAAGGCAGTGCATTTTGGTAGAAGAAAAAGAAAGCCAACAGCGCAAACCGTGAGAAGCAGAGGTAAAAAAAAGAAAAAGAAACTATCACACCTTAACCACAATGTTGTTAAAACGAAGTGTTTCACCCTACCTCCTACAATATCATGTCAATGTAACATATCGGTGGTTTGCAGAAACTTACAATGTGGACATTTTTTCTGGCGATCTGGTTGCAAATAGCAGTGACAAACTTAAACGATTTAATCAAAGAAATATTCTGGTTATACACAGTTTTGTGCGAATAAAAACTTTGTCTCTGTGCTGACGTTGTGCCCCTTGTGTCTTTGTATCTTACCAATGTAGGAAATAGTGAGCAGTCGGCTCCTCTCCAATGGTGGGGCCCAGGCTGCCCACATAGTGTACATAGCAGGGAATGTCACTCCCTGAAGACAAACACAGTACAAATGAAGCTCAAGAATAAACAATCATTCACTTATCTATCCATGCAAACCATCTCTGCATTAATTTGTCTGGCTGTCTCGTACTACAACTCCATTACGATCTTAGTATCGACACTTAAGTTAGTTGACTGTCGGCTGTAGTCTTTGCTGTGTGTTCATGTGCAACATCTCTGCCCGAGACATGGGCAGGTTACGCAGCGGGGGGGCCTTCATCGCTGCTAGTTCTCTGAAGTCGGTTTGTTGTGTCCGGGCCTTTAAACAACCTACCTCTCCGATCCCTTCCAGCACCCTGACGGCGATAAGGTAGCTTGCACCCAGGTCAGCAGCTGCAGGGGTGAGCAGCGTAAAAATGACAGTTCCCAGGATCCCGAGGCCCATCAGCCACTTGGGTCCATAGCGGCCGGCCAGGTAGCCCCCAGGGACCTGCGTCAGGATGTAGCCGTAGAAGAAGGAGCCCAGGATCCAGCCCTGTGTCTCAGAGTCCCAGTTGTACACACTGGCCTGTGAGGGGAGGGGTTGAGAGTTATGTAAGGGACTTAGCTCGATCAATTATAAAGCATTAAACTCCTTTTCCACCAAAATTAGCGCGTGTTGGCAGGTTTTTTTTAACACAATTAAACCCTCTAGAAATAGGCTATAGACTCTTTTCCCATTGCCAGTAGACCAGCAGCAGACGAGTATGGCTCTCTATGTGAGGTTTCTTTTTTAGTGTCTCACATTTGATGTCACTGACAGGCTGGAAAACAGGTTAGCGAACAGTAGAAAACAATATAGAGGACAGTTAAAACATTACGGTGTTCACTTCTTTTTTCATATCTCTTACTTATTCTGTCTTTCTTAAATTCAGTGCAGAATAATTTTGAACGATGTGAGTGCTGCTTGGGCGTTTTGTGGTGGTGCGTCATTGCACCTCGACAGATAAGGGGCTAATATTAGCATGTTCATCGGGGTGTTGTGTTTCCATCAAAGCTTATCAGATCTCTGCAGAGTCATTTGACCTGGGTGTGAATGACGACTGTAACCTTTTCCATTCATTTTACTGAAAAGCCAGGTGTTAGCGAGTGTTAGCGGATTTTGTTGTGCAGTGGAAAATGGGCTTTACTGAATAAAGACCGAATGCAGTGTTCCTTGTTGTTTGGCTGTACCTATGCTTACGTGTACATGTGCATGTGTTTGATGCTTTCTCTTTACATACAGTACAGGCCAAAAGTTTGGACACACCTTCTCATTCAATGCGTTTTCTTTATTTTCATGACTATTTACATTGTAGATTCTCACTGAAGGCATCAAAACTATGAATGAACACATGTGGAGTTATGTACTTAACAAAAAAAGGTGAAATAACTGAAAACATGTTTTATATTCTAGTTTCTTCAAAATAGCCACCCTTTGCTCTGATTACTGCTTTGCACACTCTTGGCATTCTCTCCATGAGCTTCAAGAGGTAGTCACCTGAAATGGTTTCCACTTCACAGGTGTGCCTTATCAGGGTTAATTAGTGGAATTTCTTGCTTTATCAATGGGGTTAAGATTGACAAAGGGTACAAGACTTTCTACATCGAAGACAAATGTCTGAATATCAGATGTCTGCTCTGGCCTCCTGATTCACATAATCCTGACATGTTTCTGAAGACAAATATGGAAAAACATGGCTGCAATAGTAACCAGTGTTTTCCAAAGGCCTTTTCAAGCTGGTCAACAAGAGTCTGTCTGTCTGAAACAGGTGTGATCACCTGGGCTCTTAAGGCATCAAATCATTTGAATACAGTGAGTAAAATTACACACTGAAAGCCTAAATATTTGTGAAAATGATTAACTGACTGAGTGAATTTTCAGCTGTGGTAACTGGCACGTATACTCACTCCTTATAGTTCGAGCAGGTTAAATTATTTTAAGTCTTTCTAGGCAGGAAATGTAGCTAACCAGCTGTGATGCTACTTGTGAAGAGGAACTAAACCCATTGAGGAAATGTGCTTATACGGTATTGAACCACCTCAGCATGCATGGAACAGTTCAACCAGTTTTTTATCTTTCACCTTAATCAGCTGCAGTCACGTTCTCACTCACCGTACGGTTGTGTTTGGGCCGTGCAGGGTCGGTATGACCAGGACACACTGAGCTGTGGTTGGCGCTGGATTGGTGGGTGTTGTTGACCATGTCCACCATGGCCACACTGAGGTTCACCCGCAAGGAGTAGACCACGAAGAAGCCAAAAGAGGAGAGCAGTGCCAGGCCATAGCGTGATGAACAGCAAGCTGGGGCTACAGGGTGACAGGGAGACAGATGCAATGTTAATGGGACCTTGTTGTTCAGCAGCTCCGCGTGAGTGCAGTGCCTTTTTTCTGCTTTTTCTTGTTCACTCACTGAATGAGTTTAATTTCTGTTGGGCTGCAGCTACAAATCCATTCATTAAGCGATTAGTTGTCAACTTTTAAATTAATTGCCAGCTAACTTAGTAAGTGATTCATCGGTGTGAGTAATTTTTTAGGAAAAGAAAGTTAAAATTCTCTGATTCCGGCTCCTTAATGGTGAATATTTTCTGGGGTTTTTTACTCCTCTGTGACATTCATTCATTCATTCATTCATTTTCAGTAACCGCTTATCCTGTCGGGGGTCACTAGAAGCCTGGAGCCTATCGAGAGGTGAAGTGAGAGGTGAGGTACACCCTGGACAGGTCACCAGACTATCACAGGGCTGATACACAACCATTCACACTCACATTCACACCTACGGACAATTTAGAGTCACCAGTTAACCTGCATGTCTTTGGACTGTGGGAGGAAGCTGGAGTACCCATGCTGACACAGGTAAAACATGCAAACTGCACACAGAAGGGCTCCTTCACCCCGGGTTTGATCCAGGAACCCTTTTGCTGTGAGGCAACAATGCTAACCACTGCGCCATCGTGCCTAATAATCGATTAATTGTCAACTCTTAACTTAAATGGGCTCAAAATGATTCATCAGTTTGAGTAATTTTTGGGATAAGAAAGTCAAAATTCTCTGATTCCAGCTCCTTAATGATGAATATTTTCTGTTTCTTTACTCCTCTATGACAGTAAACTGAAAATCTTTGGGTTGTGGACAGCACAAGACATTTGAGGATGTCTTCTTGGGCTTTAGGGAAACACTGATAAACATTTTCCACCATTGTCTGACATTTTATAGACCAAACAACTGATAGTTTAATCAAGAAAATAACTGACAGATGAATCAACAATGAAAATAATCCTAAATTGCAGCCCTCGTCTTGTCCTATTTAGTTTCATAACTAAACCTTGACATATGATAAGTGTCTAGAGTTTGCATAAGGTGCAATAACCTGGAGTTATGACTGTCATGTTAATCATTGCTACTACATTTCATGTGGAAAACTGGAAAGCACCCAACTCTCTCAATAAAAGACAATGGCACATCAAGCTTGAGTATCTTTACTTGGCAGGGTTGCCATGTTTACACAGAAAACATAATGTCTTTAAACAAGACAAAATTGCCCTGCTGTATCCTCAGTGCATAGTAAGTTACACAATCATACACAGTTTCTCAGAGCTCCAACTTTCATATCCAGACTTATCATCACTTTAAGCTAGCACGATTTCAGGTATGAAAACATGACATGACTCATAGCGCAGGTACACAGCAGCTCTGTCTTATGATATGAGCTCATGGCAGATGTCTCTGAACTCGTGACTCAGGTTTATTAAGATGTCAGCATGAAGACAAAGGCACAGGATGGGTGTGAAGCTATTAACAGCCTTTATATTCAGATTAACACAGGATAGCAGAAGCGTGCACCCTGCAACAAAACCTTACTGCAAATTAGTTAGCTGATAGTTGTGGTAGATGCTAACATATTTATGATGTCAGCTGATGCACAGAAACACCTGCACACTTCACAGTAACGCACCTGAGCTAATATCAGCAATGTGAGAGAAGCTACTAGCTGACTTAATGTTTAATTTTATGTTTACATTTGGTCAGAGTGATGTATATTGTCTCTGAGAAAGGTTTTATACGCTTCAGTCGTGTTGTATGGTGTTTAATTAATGTCTCTTGGCTGAGTAAACAAAGTGCAAAAAGGCAAACTAGTTAAATAAAGGAAGCTAAAAAGTTAATTTTGCTTTCCAGTTTTTATCCCGACCAAACACAGAAAACACCGCGCGACTAGGAGACATATGTTACCCGAAATGAACCTCGCTTACAGGCAGCGTTTTTGTTAGCCACCGCTAGCTTAGTTAGCCGGATAGATTATTTGTTTCACCTTTCTGGGCTTTGTCGTCGTGTCCTCGGTGAAGCAGCGGTGTATCGTCCCCCTCCGTGTCCGACCCGTACCGCTCCATGTTTCAGTCCACGTCAAACTGTCTACTGCATCACAGACTAAGCCTGAAAACAACAACAAAAGCAGCAGGAAGCTAACTCCAGTCAGCTGAGCGCTACTCTGCACCGCACAAGCTAACCCGCGTCACGTGACGACAGGCACCGGACCGGAAGCAGGAAGTAAATTGGATTTCTTTTTCCCGCGTTTTGTCTACAGGTGAAAAAAAACAACGTATCAAAAATTGTATCAAAAATAATAAATAAAAATAAATGAAAGAAAGAAATTAAAAAAAATAATAATTCGTCAACATACTAAAATATATTAATTTGTTGCCATGGAAAACATAATATTTACATTTGTATTCATAACGTTGATATTAAAATTAAATCCATGAAACATTAGCATTATAACTTAGTGATATTATTGTAGGCTTTTAACTAACTTCTGAGTTTTACAGTAGCCTATAAAGTCGTGGCGAGACAATTAACTAGTCACTTATACCGTTACGATAAACATGTAACTGTACAAAATGCATATAATTATGTTATGTGTAAACGTACGTGTTTTTTAAGCTTTTATTTTTGTTTTAGCTCGGTCATATTTCCGGGATCGAGCGGCGATTAACCATCTTTCGGTTGTGACTTCCGGCATGGATTGGATGTATGGCGGCGCCTTGTCGGCCATCTTGACTGCAGCAAGGTACTCTTGATGGAATTAGTAGTATTACCATGGAATTAGTAGTATTACCATATACCTTGGAAACATCTTAGAAATCATACTAATTTTTTTCCCATCAAATATATAATAAAATAACATTAAATATGTGGTATTAACTACAGTGAATATTCATCATTTTTCAAATTTGATAAAAATTGTACATTTACCTTGACATTGATCTTAGCTTCACTACCATACCTTAAAAAGTCAATTCAATTGTTTGGTCGAGCATCTCTTTAAAAATATTTTACCATTGTTAGACTTTTATTTTTTGTATGAAGTTACATAAGTCCATTCAGTAAGACCTCTGAAACTATAACACGTCCAAAATAAGCCTGCCTTCGAAAATCCCACCACACAGAGTCGTCATGTCTGGAGTGACTTTGTTTTTGTTATTAACTTCCTGCTTGAGGTGAACCGAAAAGTCATTTTTAAATAATATACCTAAACCAAATGGTAGAGATAGCTCGATCAGGTTGAGTTGAGTTTAGCAAAATTTTAATTATATAGTGACTCAAAATGCACTCTATCAATCAATCAAGCAGAATGTTAAAGGGATAAGATAAGGTGGCTCCTGAATTTAAGATGAGATGAGATGAGATAAGACATCACAAGACAAGACAATATGAGATGAGATGAGATAACATAACATAAAATGAGATTAGATGAGATTGGATGAGATAAGATAAGATAACATGAGATAAGATAGGACAAGACAAGAAAAGATGAGATGAGATTGGATGAGATAAGACAAGACATCACAAGACAAGAAAAGGAGACAAGATAAGATAAGCCTTTATTGATTCACAGAGTGAAAATTCAACTGTTGCAGTAGCACAAGCGCATCACAAGCAAAAGTACAGATGAATAGAGAAAGTTAAAAAAGTGAGTAAGACAGAAATTACGGTAAGTGAAGTGGTGTCAGCGAGTATGTAAACAGCAAATACCAGAATAATATGTAATGTGATACTTAGTGTTTGTCTGTATTTGTAGCCTATAGAAATATAGTACAAATAAAATCAAACAGTAAGCCATGTAATATATGCGGCAAATGTAGTCATATAGTTTAATATAATATATAGTTGGCCAGAGTACAGCAATATAACATAGAATATCAAATATAATATGGTTTAGTACATACATACTTACATATGCAACTCTATGATCTTGCTATTGTGTAGTGAATTGCATTATTTGGGGGATAATATTTCATCCACCTTTAGAGGAAAAAAAATGTTGCAAGACAGGAAATAGGTCTGACCTTTCTACCATCGTGATCCTCATTGTTCCTGGTTCCTAATCATATTAGACTCAGAACAAGAACTAAGACATGCGCTTGTTTATTATCACTGTGTGACAGAGGTTTTCTTTCTGTGCTGCAACCCGTGTGGTAGGAAAACAAATGTAAGTTTTTATAGCTCTTTTTCCTTTATCTGAAGCACCCTCCAGTGAGTCAGGGCTTCCTCATGCTTACTGGTCCCATACTGAGAGGTTCATGTGTACAGGGTGTTTAGTTATTTAAGAACGACTACGTGCTGCCACAGTGTTGATTGAAAATGACGTGCATAGTTACATATCCTAGTACGTAAAAGACTTGTGCAACTTTGTGGCACTGTTACATGACTTTCAAAGAAAATTGACTTCCAGGTCGTGATGAGGAGATCGTCATTTTCTCGGAAGGCCATTTCAGTGGGTGAGTAAGACAGGTTTTGTTTTTTGTCCAGGGACAAAACGGGCAGTAGCCGACATTAGCTTGCCTTGTTCACGCTCACATGTAACCACAGAGTCAGATGATGGGAATGATGTAACCCTCAAATCACAGGTTTGTTGTTGAAGTGAGGAGCAGCTCAGCTGTTTGTCTTCGGGCTCTTATCGTCCACACCACAGACAGAGGGACAGAGGAAACAAAGACAGGCACGTGCTGTAGATATGAAGACAGACAGGAGCAGACAGACAGGCTTTCAGCACAGTGAGGTACTGACCTGGACGGAGACACAGGCTTCTATTGGCCATGGGGCATTGATGATCAGGCTAACATCTGCATACCCACGTGGACGACATCTGTTTGTCCGAGTCAAACTGTTGAGGACTTTAGGGTTAAAGAATTGCATAAAACAACTCGAGTTAAATTGCCACAAACTTTATTTAAATCTTTCCGAAAGTCTCTTGACATGCTAGTTGAGTAGAAACTCTTCATAGAGTCGCCAGGTTCAAGGCCAGCAGACATCCGGAATATTTTTATATGAACACTGGGCCAGATGACTCTGTGTGATGTGAAAGGGTTCACTTGTAGTGATAAACCCACAGGGATATAATCACTCTGAAGTTTCTCTCAGGTCTTCGGAACTTGACACCATCTTTCAGCTTATTGTTTTCATTTTACGAACCACAAAAGCCTTACTATTTTGGTTTGCTCCCACTGCACACGTCCATGTTGTTTCCAGCAACAGCAGCATGTAGCTGTTTCAAGCAAAAACTTTGATAGACTCACAGTATGCTACCTGCTCAGCACCAAATGATAGACACCATTAGCAACCTGATAAAGAATAGCGAATTTAGCTGCTAAAGGGATTATTTTTTTAATTTTCAATTTTATATACTTTATTAATCCCCTAGAGAGAAATTCAGTGTTTTCACTCTGTTGTCATATACACACACACACACAAGCACAAACAGGACCTTTTGCATGTCAGAGTGAGGGGGCTGCCCATGGACACCAAGTGGTTGGGGAGTTCGGTGCCTTGCTCGAGGGCACCTCGGCAGTGCCCAGGAGGTGAAATGGCATCTCTCCAGCTACCAGTCCACACTCCATATTTTGGTCCAGGCGGGGACTTGAACCTCGGACTCTGGTTTCCAAGCCAAGTCCCTATGGACTGAACTATACTGCCACCGGAGAGCAAAACAGAGCTTAAACTCAAGTAGGACTTAAAGAGTAACTAAACCCTAAAACCATTTTTTTCAGCTGATAATTATTGTTTCTGGTTGTATAGTAGTGTTATTAACTGATCCTGCTCAAAATCTTGACAGTTTAGTGCAAACTGTTGAAAATCTACATTTTATTTTAAAAATGTGCTATGGAGTGCCCTCTACAGCTTGAAACCTGGTTACTGCATTTGAATTTACATTACATTGGAGGCGAATGACTCTTTTTTGGGGCGAATGACGTCACTAACCGTCCACGCTAAAGCACGCCCTCCTCCCTTTACTCCTCCTCCCCTTACTATAAAACCATTCTGTCTGCAGTTATCAAACTGATAGCGAGTAGGTTGGATCAGAGCAGAGAGAGTAGTAGAGCAGAGAGAATAGCTAGTAATTTGTTGAATTGTATTGTTAGCATAGTGTATTTTAGTGTAGGTTTACAGTTAGTAGTGTGTTTATAGTATTTAGGTTAGTTGGTCAAGGAGAGGCGCGGAAGCTCGGGAGTATATGTGCAGGGCGGCAAGGGAGGGAGGGGTGGATGGATGCGGTGGGCTGCTGCGCAGTTGGCCCAGGCTCCCAGAGAGGGAGAAATAGAACCAAGTAGGATAAAATAAGTCAAAGTGTGGAGAAGGGGACCGGGGAAGCCCTCTCTCCTCTCCCCACTGCGAGGGACAATCTTCACTCCGCCCCCTTCCTCAGCCGCTCGTAGCATATGCTCATAGCATATGTTGATATGCTATGAATGAAATGTACAAATGTAATATATCCATGGTTTGCAGGAACGTACAAGGCCAGCGCTTTATTGTGGCGGCTGGGCTGCATGAACACCCCAGCTACCGTGACATTACCCATTGGTTTGAGGACTCCTGTTTTGAAGTCTTACGTTTGACATTTTGGCTGTCACCATCTTGGTTTTCTCGAGTCAGAGGTGACCATACTTGGATGAGGGGGTAGAGCTGTGGAGGAACGAGGGGTGGATCTCAATCATAGACTGTAGCGATGCTTCGCCGACAGCCAGTCACTTAATTATGCATAACTTTAAGCCTTAATAACATTTAAACAGGTGAGTTATATTCAACGTTACCTCCAAACAGTAGTCATGAATATTGAAATTAGCTACAGAGACAAACGCAGTTTTTGTACCAGACTGTGAACATGTTTATATCTGCTGTAAATGTGGGGCATTTAAACATGGGGGTCTATGGGGATCGACTGGCTTCTGGAGCCAGCCTCAAGTGGCCATTAGCGGAACTGCAGTTTATGGTACTTACGCACTGGGTTTATTTTTCAGCCTTTTGTGTTTCCACTTGGTCAACACAACACCACACTGATGTTGAATGTGGAAATAGGGAACTGTTTGCTAACATGTTCACCACACTAACGTCATAAAACAATAATTGTTGTGTGCACAGCTTGTTATAATGCCCCAAAGTGCCCAAGAAACACTCACTGATGATGTTTGGTAGCGGTAGCTCTCTCTGTATGTGACTTTACACGTGTAC